GCGCATCGTCGAACCGTTGGTGCATCGCTCGCACCCCGTGACTCGCTGAATTCACAAAGTCTGGCATTGACCATAGTCGTAAAATCGGTGTCAGGTGATGGCCTGTGGCTGACATGCCAAGTGTTCCCGTCAGATGGGCTACTGTTGCCCTTATGTTGCGTGCTGAATTTAGCTTCTCGTTTCAATCATCACTATGTTTGTATAGGGGACCGAGGGATAGAGACGACGGCAACATCACTGCGCAAGACCAGCCAACCGTGACTGCACCGCGTTCAAGCTACCCGAGCAGGGTCAACCGTGCGTTGGACAAAGTCCAACGAGGGGTGGGGGTCGTATTTGGGGTGGAAAAAGGGGGGTCGTATTTCGCGAGGTAGCGTTAATGTTACAGTAAGGGAAGTGATGATGCAGTTGGTTGGCGCGCTAAAATTTTGCCGTTTCACGGTGTGTATAAGCCTCTCCCCCAGGAAATGTTGTGAAATAGGGGGGAAGGAGAGAATGTTTGCGGTTTCGTGGTAGGTATACACCCCCACTCACCCCCACCCCCGCTCGACGGTAATTTTGGAGGAAAAGTGGGCGGAGTTTGGGCTGTGTCGACTGGTCTCAGAATCGAATACTATAGAATGAGCCCCATGATGGCGATGGCAGGCGAGGGTGGTGAAGGGTTGACCCTGAGGGGGGTCGTATCGAGGCCCTCTAGAAGGGGGAGGGGGTCGTAAAATTTTCGAAATCGGTCCAACGTGACGGTTGACCCTGTACCCCAGTATAATGAAAACCAGTTCAAGTGCCTCGTTTTTGTAAGTGGTTCCCAGTCTAAACTCTTTCATGTGACATAAACTGCTCGATAAAACTGACTCTGCTCCAAGTTGTTCCTTTCAGTCATGTGTATATTTCTCATGGAACTCAATTTGTCGGGTCCACATCCACTACGTGGCCCCAGATTACGGTATTGAGTTGAGTAACCGGGTCTCATTGTCAGCAGCCCAACACTTGGCAACTCCAGCACTCTCCTTCACCCTGTTTAACACGCTAAAAATGTTTCACAAGAATGCTGGGTTGTGAACAAAACTTTCGCCCCAGGCGGGACTAGAACCCGCACCTCTCGCTTTCCGGGCAAGTGCGCTACCAGTTACGCTACCGGGGCATTTCATTCCAACTCAGCTTTTCATGGTATACGTACCATAGCTTTCAGCACTCACACGTATAACGTGTTGAGCCGGTTAGCCGCTATGGTACGTATACCATGAAAGCTGAGTTGGGATGAAATGGTGCCCCGGTAGCGTAACTGGTAGCGCACTTGCCCGGAAAGCGAGAGGTGCGGGTTCTAGTCCCGCCTGGGGCGAAAGTTTTGTTCACAACCCAGCATTCTTGTGAAACATTCGCAAGGCGAACTGCGGCCAAAAACAGCAGTTAACAAACAAAACAAGTCAAAACTCTAAAAATGTATTAAACAGCATTGCCTAACAATGTTTTTTTCTATGTACCGCTGTCCACCTTCAGATATGGGCCTGCGACCCATAGTCTGATAGAGTCCTACCGAGCAATGTCTAGAAAGTTCCTCAGCTTTTGGATCGACCGTCAAAAACACTAAAATTCAGATATCACCCTTCTAGAAGCGATTAGGCCCATGATGTATTGCTACACATCCCACCAACTTACAGCAATGTGTCCAGATCTTATCCAAAAAACGTTTGCTTCATCCTACCCCATCGTCGACCTTGCAACAATGATAGTACTCCATATTTATAGAGCTGTGAAACAACGCGTTTTATGAACAGCAACCACATAGTACAGCTCACTAAAATTAACCGTATATCTCACTGATTCGTAATTCAGCCGAACAACAAACAACACACATGGAAAAACACACCACTTGATACCGAAAAATCACAGGACAATATCATAATAAAAACAAACTTAATTGAAATCAATCTACATAATGGCATTGCCTAAAACTTCAGCCAGATTAAAACTCACACCTTGATCCAGTTCGTTTGAATAAATAAAAAACAACAATACCCCAAAGGAGGAATGAAAGAAGAAAACACTTCGTTGTGGATCTTCGAAACAGTTTAACATCACTCGCTAAAACCTTCTACGTTTGAAAAGGGTATTGTGATTAGATTTCGCATCAGACGAAAACCTGTAGAATGAATATCAGAAACGAAAGTAGTAAAACGAAACGGACACTTGTTGTAAAATGTAGAATATCAAGCAGGAAGTTGGCAGATAGATTTCTTGACAGCGCCAAATCACAATAAAAGCTTCGAAATGTCTCGTTCCACGAACCCTGGAACTTGGTCCATAGGCTGTGGTGGGAACGAATATCCTCCTCCATTCATCTGCTCGCGTGCGGCTACAACGGCTGCTGCTCCATGTAGATCGGCAAGCATGTTAGGGTTCAGCCCAGAGTTGGATGGAGATGGCTGCAATGCAAATTTGAGCACTCCTATCGTGTATATACAAATCACTTTTGTCCCAGCCACCGACAGGGATTCCCTTTTTTATATATGCTAATCCAACCCCTATCGCTGTTTTCATTTGCGAGTTAAACATTCTCTAAAATTTTCTGAAGTACAAATATGAAGTCTAATACTCCAGCACAGAAGGGTGTACCGCTGTGGCGACATCAAGTTCAACTGATACTCAACAATGAGTCAGTTACCAATTTTGGCTAGAGGTTGCGTTGTTAGCTTTTCGACTCCAACACCTAGTGTAGTGGCTGAGGAAGTTTCAGTAAGTACGTTCAGCAGTTGGCGGATATCACAAACACTTCATGGTTTTGTTAATCGTAGCTTACTGCAGCTATCTTTGTCCAAGAGCGTACAGACATTTACAAATTCTCGCCGACCACAGGCTAGCGGTTTATAAAACACCAGTTTAGCTCCGCCCGCTACCGCGCGCATGACACGGAAGCCTGATAGAACTGACAATCGGTGAAGCTTTAGGTTTCACCGCTTAACTATAGCTGCTTCGTTAAATGCATTACTGTCCGTTGCATAGGCTGCCCATCTTGGCTGTATCTCACTGTTTGATAAGCGCAGTGAAGTGCACAGCTAAAGTGATGATGTAAACAACCACCATGCGTCGAGTATCGAGGTAATTTAGCGGTCGAATATCTCAAAACGGAATGCCCAGTATTCATTATCATATTTATTCGAGCATCCCATTCATCCTCAAGAACTCTAGAAGGTGTAGCGGTCGAAAGGTGTTTGAGTTTACAATTACAACGCTAATGAAATATTGAAATAAAATGCATTATCTACAATCTGGTTTCGAGTGATCTCTACGTTCGTACGCATATCGTTACTATCAGTCCTCATCAGTCGTTATCACTTTTTGACCCCCACCAAATATGTTCCGTCCCACCCCTATCCCAAAATCAGCTCCTGACGACTGCTGCGAAGCGCACTATGAATTTCGTGAAATTTGTGTTTCAGCGCCTCTTATCTGCTCTTATCAGTCGTTATCACTTTGTAACCCCCACCAAATATGTTCCCGTCCCACCCCTATATCATATCAAAAAATCAGCTCCTAACGACTGCTGCGACGCGTGCTATGAATTTCGTGACACACACGCACACACACACACAAACAGACAGACATAGCGTTTTATATATAACCAGTTTAGCTCCGCCCGCTACCGCGCGCATTGATAGAACTGACAATCGATGAAGCTTTAGGTTTCACCGCTAAATTATAGCTGCTTCGTTAAATGTATTACTGTCCGTTGCATAGGCTGCCCATCTTGGCTGTATCTCACTGTTTGATAAGCGCAGTGAAGTGCACAGCTAAAGTGATGATGTAAACAACCACTATGCGTCGAGTATCGAGGTAATTTAGCGGTCGAATATCTCAAAACGGAATGCCTAGTATTCATTATCATATTTATTCGAGCATCCCATTCATCCTCAAGAACTCTAGAAGGAGTAGCGGTCGAAAGGTGCTTGAGTTTACAATTACAACGCTGATGAAATGATATTGAAATAAAAGGCATTATCTACAATCTGCTCTCTATTCTCTATTTCAAGTGCTCTCTACGTTCGTACGCATGTCGTTATATCAGTCGTCATCAGTCGTTATCACTTGGTGACCCCACCAAATATGTTTGCGTCCCACCCCCTATATCATGTCCCAAAATCAGCTCCTGACGACTGCTGCGAAGCGCACTATGAATTTCGCGACACTTGCGTTCTAGCGCCTTTTATCAGCCCTTATCAGTTGTTATCACTTTCTTTACCCCACCAAATATGTTCCCGTCCCACCCCCTATATCATATCTTGAAACCAACTCCTGACGACCACTGGTGCCCGAGCTATGAATTTCGCGACACTTGCGTTCTAGCGCCTTTTATCAGCCCTTATCAGTTGTGATCACTTTCTTTACCCCACCAAATATGTTCCCGTCCCACCCCTATATCATATCTTGAAACCAACTCCTGACGACCACTGGTGCCCGAGCTATGAATTTCCGGTCAGACAGACAAACACATACACACACACAGACACACACGCACAACCGCTTAGCCGATTATATATAGTAGGATAGTAGGGATAGAGGTAGACGATCACCAGTTACAAAACAGGATATAAACTAATTTCTTGCGAAGTCCAAACCAAAGTTCATACCTGTAGCATCGACGTGAACGGTGCCGGATTGATCCCCATTGCAGCTGCTAGAGAAGCCAACTGACTAGTTGGATCTGAAAATAAGACGAAGTCCTTTCACAAAAAAATAAAGTTGTGTTTCGAAGATAGCAAACGAATTATATTGCCCACAAAAGTCGCTGCACGTAGTGCTTCAAAGTCTACAGAAGCCGAAATAGTTTAAAATGTTGAGATTGTACTTACCAACTGGATTGCAAGAACGCATAATACTTCCAAGTTGATTACAGCCGACCTCAATAGCAGCTAAAGGAAAGTTATCAACGAGTGATCTACATACTTCTAGCAATGAACTTCTGGCAGAAAACGTAGTAGATATACCTTTGTGCATGGCGAATGATATCATATCTTTTTTGTCGAGAGCAGCGATTGCCTTATCAATCGTTTCTATCATTAGTGGAATAAACTGCAAGTACAAAAATGTTTACACGATGAAAACGATATAACTCTACCGAGTATGAGAAGATAAGCAAACAAGACAAGCAAACTGCATCCTACATGGTACTGAGGTGCTCCATCTGTCCGGAACATGTTGAGAAGAGTAATACGAACGTCGCCCAGTTGAATTTTCTCCTTCCATATTGCCATAAGACCCTGAACTGAGCAACTCGCGGAAAACTTATCTAATCTCATTTCATCACAACCGATAGATAATCAGCAGTGGTTCCAAGCTCACAGTCAGTGAGGTCCTTTCTGTGAACCCTCCAAGTGGTCAATCTACGCAGCAGTTAAGCACTGATCAAGCTCACAGTCAGTGGTCAACCTTCAAAGTGGTCGAGATACGCAGCAGTCATTCATCAGTTGCTATATATGGGCCTCATGAACCAGACGCGACAAATCCAGTAAACACACGCCTTGGAGCTGACTTTTTTCACCCCAATCAGACAGCACCCCAACCAGACAGCCGGTCTGCAGTGCCGCCTGCTTCACTGACAAACGGCTTTCCAGTCAGATGAATCGCCTGCACCGCTTTGCTACATATAATTGAGAGGGACTTGATGCGACGAAGCAGGAGGACGTTAAAAACGCGATCAGGCAATGTGCTTCACATTCATACCTGCTCATTAAGATTGAGAGGAGGTAGCTGAGGAGATCTGACATGGTTAAAGTTCGCTGGATGTGGAAGAAGGTTAGGAGTGGACGGCAGCAAATTCATGGGTGGAGAAGGGACGCCGGGCGATCCCTTATTTTCAGCGGTTCTTTTCGTGTTAAATGTAGGAGAGGGCTTCTGAAAGCAAGAGCAGACATAGGTTAGAAGTGTGGATGATGAAGTTTCCAACACTTACCTCGAAAGCAGATCCGCTTTCCCGTAGCTGTGGAGCGGGTGGAACGGTAGCCTGTGACTGCTGTTCCTTCAGCAGCATCGAAGTATTATCGCTGGATTCATTACTACTTGGACGTCCACTGTCGGGCGATGTTGGAGCGGTTGTTTGAGGTTTCGTGTGGAGCGGAGTAGGCTTGTTGATCGGTGGGGTATCCCTGGCAGCTGGTGAAGTGGCTCTGGTAGTGAAAGTTGGTTTACTAGGAATAGGAGAACCTGGTGGTGTCCATCCGGGAGTAAAAGCTGAAATCTAAAAATTGAATCCGTCGGCTTTTTATACCAAGATTTCACGCTGGAGTGAAAAAAGTTGCGCCCAGTAAGCGGGTTGCGTTCGGTTGTTCGCAAAAACAATAGGAAAATTCGCCGTTGGTGAAAGCCTCAAACTCACATCGTGTTGGCCTCCGATTCCGTTGACCTCGTTTAACACGCGAAATCAGATCATCGTTTGGATCGTCGGCGATAGAGCCCACGTCAGCCCTCTTCTCTTCGGAATCATCACTTTTTCTCCCACTCTTTCTCGTTTTCTTTGAAACAGAACCGCTAGCTGAACTGCTTTTAGGCTGAGCACTTGTAGGGGTGTTACAAGTAGCAGACTGAACGGTTGGTGAAGGCGTGTGTCTTTCTCCTTCGGCTTCCATTTCCATGGCTGGCTCGGATGCTTTCCTTTCCAATGTTTTGACCATTTCCACCAGCTTCTCTGAAATGATTTCTAACTATTCAAACACAAGTCATTTGTGGTTCACGACTGCAACAGGCCGGTTCGTAGCCAGCAAAGATGCAGCTGGCTGTATATTAGCCGACAATGGACGCACCCTGCGGACATCCCGAATGAAACCCCCAGTGGACCAAGTGGACCCAATAAAGCTGTTAATTGAGCTTTTTATAGCTGCACTCTCCATGCAGCTTTCCATCACCACTTACCTAGCTGCCAAAATTGCAGTAATCTTGTCCGAGTGTGCTCCAAGGGTCATAATAGAACTCCAGGAAACGTTAGAAATGAACAGAACACATAACTGACTTAGTTTCGTAGCTGCTTGATCATAATTGCTGCCATCTTTCATGCACTGCCGAAGGTCCGCAACAGCTGCCAATGCTTTAGAGACCCTTTTGCGACAGACATCGTCTGCGACTTTGCTGAGTCTGCCTCTACAAATTAAATGTTGAACTATTAGCGCATACCGCACGAATTAAACTTACACAATATCAGCCATCTGCTCCAAGAACATTGTTCTCCATTCCGGGGGTGCTTTGAGTCCCTCTTAAAAACAATGTGATAATCCGAAGTCAGGTATATACTCGATATCTGAGAGTTGGGGTAGGCGTGTCACCGGAAGTGACGTGCACTTGATAGAAGCTATGTGGATAAGCTGCTTCCAACATACATCGCTGGATATCAGCAAAGCATGCTGGCAACAGCTTATCCACGCAACTTCTATCAAGTGCACGTCACTTCCGGTGACACGCCTACCCCAACTTTCGGATATCGACTGTATGTCAGATGAAAATAGAGAACGTTTCGGTGGTGGGCTTGTGTTTGATACATTCTCCCGAAACCATCGAAATATTTTTGAACAAAAAACGTGCATCCTCGCCTTCCGTTACTCGGCGCTTTTTTGGAGCACCACTGGCAACTTCCATTATTTCAATATCTTCCTTTGCTTTGGTGTATAATTCCATATCGCTCGAAAGCTCCTGCAAACCTTGTGCCACCGAATGGTTCTTTTCCTTCAGCTCACCTTAAATTGGCTGACTCCATAAAGGCCATCAATATAAGAAATATGAACATAAATAATTGTCATCATCCTTTAGTTACTCCAAAGTAATGCCAATCAGAAGGAATGTGATCAAAAAAATTGTTATTAGCAAACCACTCACGCATCCTTGTTCTGTACAGGTGAAGAGGAATCGGTGGCTTACTTCGATCGCCATCCCAGCAAGCACCAAGCATCCACTTGCACATCTATATGAAATGTTTTGAAAGCCAAGGAACTGAATTTTTGTGGAAACAACGAAAAAAGGGTTAAGGATTTACCTGAGAAATCGTGTGATATCAGTATTGTGAATAAAGTGGTAACGAGAGCTAGTGAAGGTGATAATGAGCTAACTGACAAATAACCTACCTCTATAACGATGATGACACCGGCCATGCAGTCAGCATAGTGAGACGGTACGTCCGTTTCAAGCCTGAAAAAAGTACAATACATATTACGAATGTACACAAACAGTGGTGAGTTCTGGTGGTAAATGGGTTGGGGGACTACGCGGCCGGCGTGGTGGCACTAAGCCCGAGCCTAGAAGGGAGGGGTAGGCCGTGAACAGTGTGACTCTTGATTTCGCAGTATCTAACCTTTAGGTTTTTAAGCCTCCTTCCTATGCTCAGACTTCGTGTTATGGCGCTCGAAAGACCCCGCGCCGCCGCGTAGTTCCCCCTAACTCACTTATCACCTGGATCTCAAACTGATGAAAACAAAAATTGGAAATAGCAAGGTTGCAATAGAAAGGGAAAGCTAAGCAGATATCAACTAGCAAATGATAAATATCAAATTTCCATGTCCAATCAAGTAAAACATTCAAATTGTAGCAATCCTTCTAAAACAAGGACAAAATTTTATTCTAAATAAAGGCGCAAAACCAATTTAGTGTTACACTCTGTTTTGCGGGCCACAGTAAGCAGCGCGATACGCTCAGTTTTAGAGACACATCAGAGTCCGAGACAGAATTCGCTTCTTCGGTATAGTAGCGAGAGGAAACGCAATCGATCAATACCCGTGGGGTGAGGATGATAGGCCTACTCTTGAATCAAATTCTCCTCCCAAATGAGTCACCAACAATAGACATACAACAAAATGGGCACCTATACCCTCTGCCCGCGAGATCAATCGCGTTTTCTCGTATTGCGTTCCTCTCAATACAATTTCCCTAGTGATACTCATTTACTCTCGATACGCAGTTTGGCACGAGTCGAAACGACTGCCGTCAGACTCTGACATGTCTCTTAGGACCCAGCCTTAGGAATAGACTTTGCGGTGCTTAAGCACTTTTTATTCCCCAGAGTTTGTCTCCTCCCACACTTGGTGCTTACCGTAATCTGTGAAATAAAGGTACTCCGTCATACTAGTGGCCGATGTCAGACTTTGCGATTGGAGCGATTTTGCACCAATTGCAGGAGCGACGGATCGCTTGAGCGATGCGAGCGACGGGAGATTTACCCCGCCGAATACCGATACACACGGCGCCGCTCGGGTAAATCTCCCGTCGCTCGCATCGCTCAAGCGATCCGTCGCTCCTGCAATTGGTGCAAAATCGCTCCAATCGCAAAGTCTGACATCGGCCAGTTCTGCACCTAAATAGGTATTATGGATGGAACATGATAATCTTTCTGCTGAAAGTTGTAGTTATATAGATGAGTGTAACTATAATCCAAGCCTTTCGAACAATTTATTTTCAAGATGAAAAGAGCTCACTTTCTTTTATTGACTTCCCAAACTTTGTAGATTCTCTGGAGACGCCGCTTTTCCTCAGCCCAGAAAGGCTCGGAAAAATATCTGAATGTAAGTGTACTTCACAAACTGGAGTCACAAATTTTGAATCAAAAAAGAAACACTAACAAAAACACCAAAAACAAGCGCTTATCAACACTGCCAGCCGGCTGCAGATAAAATGAATACTACCACCAGCCCATCCTACTTTACCATTGTATTGTTTTGTTATACTCTCAAAAAGAAATAATCAAGTGTATTTGGGGTACAGTGAACAGTGGTGCTGAATAGGACCAATTATCATTAGGATTCGACCTGGATTTGATCACATCTTCAAGGATCAAATCAGGGTCGAATCTTGGCGAAGCCACGTTTCGCCGGTATGACGCAAACCAGGACCAGTCTCCTTGTCACTATTAAGACCGAGACTCGTTCGAAAGCCTTATCATCTGTGAAAGGATTCGAGCAGGTGGCGTATCTCAAGAAAAGCGACTGTCGAAGCGGAGCGCTCCGCTTTTATTTACTTTCACACCTTGGAACTGCATACTCACTCCTGCTCGACCCACACGACTACCTGTGGAATATTTTTCTAGACGAGGACCAATGGAAGTAGCTTAAAAAAACTACTCAACCAACCTTCCAGGAACCGTGTATGTGGTTGAAGGGAAGTACTGGGCGGAGCTAATAGGAAACAGTTTCCTTGCGATGTCATCATTGAAATCTTTGAGTCTTCTCACGGTTATCTAAAGGCTTCTTATCAATTTGTACGGTCGTGAATTTCTCAGCAATATCTCATTTCATAGCAATTTTTCATCTAACGTGCTGCAAGGTCTTAACCAAATTTTGTAACACTTACCAAACACTCAGGTTTCTCTCCTATGTACTCAAATTCGAGATCTTCCGGCTTCGGGCTGTCGAATTTCATAATTCGATTCCTAAGCAAATTTTTGAACATTCATGAAGAAGTTCTATGCATTGGTCACACTTTCTCAGCTACAGTCAGCCCTTTCTTGCTGCACTTTCAAGGACTGCGATTAGCATGAAAGTTTTAATTAGGCTTTGCCAAT